CATAAAGCATTCCCCTCTGAAAAAAAAAAGGCTCGAGCCAATTTGTGAGAATGCATTATAATAAACATATTCAAATCTTTACTTCTTCCTTAATTTTTAAACTCTTTTATTCTCAATATACAGACAATGTAACTTTTTCGATTCCCAAACTCAAAGTGCGATAAGTCAAGTTACACTTGTTGTAAAGTCTGCTCTCAAGTTGTGATAACATTCTCGATAAGGCAAACACTTGCCTGAAACAATAGCGAACACTTCACACTTTGAACTCCTGACTTGCGACTTTGACTTGCGTTATAAGAGATTCAAATTGAATTATCGTTTTATTTGACATTGATAAACGTAGTTGAAGCTTTTGCATAGTTTATAAAAATAAACAAATGATTTTGTTTGTTTGGTAACTTAAGTAATTTGATATTATATTCTAAAATATCTAAATGTTTTTATATGAATTCCTAAGCTATTTTTTCTCCAAAAATATATTTTTTTAATTGAAAGTAAACCATGATGCTGTGACCCAATGATGAATCATTATCAGTTTCCTATACGTCCCCAATAAGGGGCTCAAAGACTACCTTAATCTAGGGTTGTCTAGGCCTAAGTCAATCTCCCCCTGGGAGGGAGCTGCCTCGGCAGCTGGCGCAGACGGCGCCGCGGACGACAGCGAACGCGTGCCCGTGGTCCCGTCCCGATGCGTTGGAACAGAGACGTTTAGTGGGTATGCCTCCGCTATGGAGGAGAATCCCACATAACTACCGCGTCCCCCCCCCGGGGCGCGGAGTATGCATAAAGCATTCCCCTCTGAAAAAAAAGGCATAAGTCAATGACACTGGCCAAATCCGGGTTGGTTGACTTCACACATTATTTTCTGCGCAGATATGTACAGTTAATCGATATTCGAAAAATCGTATTGGTACATGGCGGGATTCGAACCTAAGACCTGCAGATTGCAAGTCAAGTGATTAACCGCTGAGCCACCGACACATGAATGATGAAATGCTAAAATAAGGTGACTTCAAACGAAAACCTTTTGACCGAGTTAAATGTGTCATGTCAAATCTACAGAACTGTCAGATGTTCAAAGACTAAAGGAATTGGGAACGCAACCACTGGAGCCAAAAGTATAATGTTTGCTTAACCTCAGTATGTTGACATTTGGATACGACTTTCTTTTTAACGATTGTGCCAAATGTGATTTCAGACCTTTGATATGTTTTTACAAAGCTTTTTCCAACTATATATGTTTAAACGGACGGATGGATGTTTGTTAGAAGGTATCTACAAAACGGCCTAGTAGATCTCGATGAAATATGGTATATCCGTAGGGCATATTCTAGATGAACACACATCGGAAACTTGTTAACTTTTTTTATTTTCGAGAGGACGAAGTCGCGGCCGACAGCTAGTAGGTTATAATTTGGTTTATAAATGAACTAGCCGAATTAAATAAAATAAGATAATTAGTAGTCTATGTGTTCTTGCAGTCTATGCTACATCTGTGCAAAATTTCATCAAGATTGAGCCGTTCCGTAGATAGCTTTAAACAAACATCCATCCATATAAACATTCGCATTTATATTATTAGTAAAAAGTAGGATTTTAATATTAGTAAGTTTGTTTGTTGTATTATAAGAAAATTACAACTAAAAATATATGCAGGTATATGTCAAAAACTGAGCTAGTAAAGATAAGAAAATATTTCAAGCATCTAAGTACACTGTTTTTATAATGTTACTTCAGAATATTGAAAATTAAGATTTATTTCATTTTGCGCATAAATTTCTAACGAAAAGTCTTGTACAATAAGATTGAGTAACATCTTAAATATTTCTCAGAAAACGATTGCTTAACCTTTTCAGTTGAATATGAAAAATGTTCTTATCAATAATAATTGATGATGAAAGTTGTACAAAAGTTTGGAATATAATGGATCGCGCAAGTCAATGTTTCTTAGAAACAAGAAGTATTTGTAAAAGTGAATTAAAAACAAAAGTTTTGTATAAAGATAAAAAAAAATCGCTACGACTTGGGGCCCTTCAAGAAGCGAGCTTATCACCACCTTAAAGGCCGGCAACACATCTGCGGTGCCTCTGGTATTGCTGATGTCCATGGGCGTCGTTGAACACCTCGGTGTTCCCGCTGCTCGTTTGCCCCCTTCTGTTATAAAAAAAAACTCGTACATTGTTAAACTGCCAATTAAACGATTCTCTTTATCTTTCATTAATTGTCGTCAGTTCGAATTTTTTTATTGTTTGTTTCGGGTTATCTCCCCTGTTAATATTATAGCTGATTTACGCTGGCATGTTATACGTTTTTTTAATTATTAAAAGTTGCCAATAAAAGCTGCCAGCATTTTTCAGTAAACGTATTGGCCTTCAAGAGTAAAGTAAAGTACGCATTTACTGAGCTAGCGCGTACTATCTTTCGACATATAATATCTGTTGGGATCGCGGTCAAACACTGGATTCACTTAAAAAAAAGGTTAAGAATTCCGATTGATTGACTATGCAATAACATCTCGCTTTAAAATCTATCAAGCCACACATATTGTCTCTGTCACACATATTGTCGTCTCTGTTTTTCTAAATTGAATGACAACATGTTTCAATACAAGTGTTACTGTAGTCAAAACCCATAGTTACTTCTTACTTACTACTTATATGAAGGATGGTTGTTTGTTTAAAATATAGAACATAGTTTGAAACACATAGACTACTAATTATTTTTTTAATTCCGTGCGAACGGAGCAGGGGGCGACCGCTAGTATATGTACATTTGAAAAGCACTGCCTATAGTTAGTCGAGTAAATACTAAAATAAGTTCATCTGCGTATAAATGATAACAACGAATGAAATTCATTTTGTACAATCTGACAAATTCATTCAATTTTCCTGTTCGCCTTCTTCATTAGGACTAGCCGTTGCCTTTTACGATTCGACGAATCTTTCTTAATTTCGTTTTGTTCTGTCGTTTATATTTCTTCCTCTGTAAGAAAACTCGATAAGATAAAAGAAAAATCTAAATTAAGTTTTTTTAGCTTAAGAAATTTAACTAATATAATATTATGCGAATGTTTTGATGTATGGATGTATGTTTTACGTATCTACTTATATAGAACATAGTCTAAAGTAAACACATGAGACACTGTTTACAATTTTTTAATTCTGCGCAGACAATGCCGTAGGAAAAAGCTAGTATTCACATAACTTTCTCATTTTAATACATTATTTATCTTCCTTAATTCGAGCTTTATCTGCATATAATTTTTCTATCCTACGGTATCAAGTAACTATAAAATATTTAAATATATTAAAATAAAAGATATTTTTTTTTTCAAATTAATGGCATTTGTTTTTCATCTTTTTATTAGAATATAAATAAATAAATGGACAGTATTATGCAACATGTGTTACCTTATGAATAAAAACTCTTTTCAGATCTAATTAGTGTTTGATTTAAAACAGTAAAACCAAAGGTATTTACAAACGACCCTTTTGTCCATTATTTCAAATCTGTTTCACTCGTTGTTCAAACTGTACCCTGTACTAATGAATTGTAAAGTTCATGAACTTTACACTTTGACGACGTAATTTCGTTTAAAATTTTAAAGCGTCTGGTTAGGTGCAAAGCTCTGTGTCAGAATACTGAATATACTATTTCGAGTTTTGTTAATTAAAACTTATTTTTTTTAAGCTACGCTTATGTTACTAATTAAATGGCAATTATAGTAATTAAAATTGTTGTAATAATTATCTTGTCTATACTTATCTATATCTATATTTCTATAATTTAATATTATAATATAAAAAGGAAAAGATTTGTATTTTTGTATGTAACGAACAATATCCCGGAGGCCTAATTTAGTCCTCTTTCCCTTCCCACCCTTTTTCTTATATGGAAAGGATTGTTTTTTGATTCCGTGCAGACGAAGTCGCGGGCCAAAGTTAGTTGTTAATAAGAAAGTATTTGTTTTAAAAATAATAGTATAATTATTATATTTTATAATTTATAATTTTATTATTTTTTACGCAGCCTACTCCAGTTTTTATTCATTTTGATTGTGGGACAAATATGAGTATTTGAGTATAAAACGCATACTGCTTAGTTAATTTTTGTCATAAAAAATCTATTTCTTATTTGATCCATTTCTAAGTTATCAAACCACTTAAAAAGTATTAGCAACATTCGGTACCAAATTTTGTCGCCACTTGCATATTATGTGAAGAGTTAAAATTTAAAAAACTACAAAAAGTTAAAGTACTGTTTTGAATTTTTGTAAGCTTAATTTTAAAAGTGTTATTTAACGACTCGATGTGAAAATTTAATGTAAAAAGTCATAAAGATAAAAAAGGTACAAACCATAAAGTCACGAATTTGATATACGATTCAAAATAAGTTGCTTTTTATGTGTAGGCGAAAAAAACATTGATATTAAAATGATTCAATGTTATAGCCAATATGTTAAATCATTGAATTTGTACATAATTTTTTTTAATTTCTTAAAGATACATCCTGAGATCTGTGAGTTGCCGAATAGTCGTTCAATTTTTTTTTCTCAGTTTTCTCATGTAAAATGAAAGGGAAGATAATATGTTTTTGTATTTTTATATCCTTCAATCGATTTGAAGCAAATTAATGTTCAGATTAAATTTAAATATTAGCATTTTTTTGTAAACTTACTAATATTTCTTTTACCATTCCAACTAAACTCTAGGCTTGTGCTGGCATACGGTTTACGACGATAATCGAATGGCGGGATTCAAACCCCCGACCTCGTGATCGGAAATCCGTACCCTTAACCATTAGGCTATTGACGCTTGACCATTCAGTGCAACAACGGCGCTTTGTCTAGTCCATTTCTCTATAGTCAATGTTTGATAATAACCAACGTAGGTATTAATTACCATAAACTACACTAATTAATTTCCTTTTTAACGAGGTTATTTGATCTACCAATTAATAACCTTGACGATATTAAATTATTATGAGTTTAAATGCAATGAAATAAAATTGCAATCGCAATGAAAATGTCAAAAGTAATTTGAAATTATGTTTGATAACAGATTACTGTATAGTTTTCTTGATACAAGAAATGTGGCAAAGGCAATAATGTTCAGATTTATATTAATTTTAGGTTAGTTATGTTCGATTTAACATCGATTAAAATGTGTGAAAATAGTGAATTATTATCGAAATAAATGTCCAAATATATATATATAAAAGTCGTGTTAGTTACACTATTTAAAACTCAAGAACGGCTTTACCGATATGACTGAAAATTGGTGAGGAGGTAGCTTAGAGCCAGGAGACGGACATAGGATACTATTTATTCATTTTTTTCAAACTTATACTTTGAAGAGCTCCTTTTTATATAACTTATCTATGTCACAATGTTAGTTAGCATAGTCTTTCGAAACGACTTGACTGAAATTATGAAATTTTATATGCATAGAATCGGTTACTATCAATTGTGTAATACCGCACGGACGGAATCGCGTGCGATAGCTAGTTTATTTAGTATTAAACTACTCATTCGAAAAAAAAGAATGTTCAAAATCGTTTTACTAGGGAAGTTTTGAAGGACAAACATAGACGTATTAAGAACCTCCTTGTTGAAGTGGATTAAATGTGAACACATGCACATTTGACTTGAAAAGAACAGTAAGAAGTATAATTATTAGAATGAAAGTTAATGTTTTATTGTATTTTGTTACAGGTATTACGTATGTATATACATATGCAGTTAAATCAGTATGTATCGGTCGAAACGGTTGTGGGCCAGTTACAACTTCTACTACAAAGGATTTGTTCTCAAAAATTGGGGTACGAGAAACAATTTTAGGGCGGTTAGTATATAAATTTGTAAAAAAAGTTACTATATTGTTCGCCATACACCAGGAATTTCCAACTAGTATTTTCTCTTTCTCGTAGGTCTTTTTCATTATTTTTGGATTCTGTACACCCTTTTCTACTATATTTCTTTTTTGAACCATAAATTTTGTATTCTACATATTCACTGGGTCTTGACGTGACTCGAGAAGATCGACTAGTTTGTTGTAGCCGCTAAATTTTAATACTATTTCAGGTTCTTGCCACCCACCAACAATCCTTTGTACGAAAATTGTAAATGCTCCAGCGTTTACAATCCCGTTTGCGGAACAAATAATCAGTCGTATTACAACCCTTGTTATTTAACGTGCGGTCTTTCAAATGTATCTGTAGAAATCAAACATTTCGGCAAATGTTTGCCGTTCTAAATTTAAATTATTTGATAAAATATTACAGATACTCTTTTGTTTCAAATGTACATTTAAGGAATTAATATTTTTTTCTAGTAGTAATTCAGCCAGGATTAAATAATAAAACATTTTTAACCGAAAAATCTTTATTAAAAATCCATGTGTAATGTTTCGGTTTGAAATAAAAAATAAAAATAAAATAGGATATAAACGATTAAACAATTAATTTCATTTTTTCAATGATATAATTTATTTTTATTTTACGTTCGGATCATGTTTTTATATCTTTAAATGAGCAATTCCTGTATATATAAACAACTGTTATTGTAAAAAAAAACTTTGTAGCTTTTAACCGAATGGTTATTATAAGTACGACCGTTACATATTTAATTGGAATCTCGGAATCGGCTCCAACGATTTTAATAAAATTCAGTATATAGGGGGTTTCGGGGGCGATAAATCGATCTAGCTAGGAATCATTTTTAGAAAATGTCATTTTATTCGTGTTTTATCGATAATCAACTTAAACATAAACTTAACTTTTTCTATCGGTAAGATGGAAAAATATTATTCATATTTCATCATTATATTAGTAATTCGTAGTTAAATATAATTTCCAAAAAACACAATAAAAAAATATGATGTTATTTAAGAAGACATTTATAAAATTCTCAAATGTAATAATTGTAATATTTAATTATTTTAAGCATAAATAATTTAATTAATAATAATATCTTATTCAATAAAATATATTTAAATTCTGAAGAATTATCAATAATATGTTCAAAACATCAATGATTATTATTATATTATGTTTGAATCTTGTTAAACTTAATAATATAGATTTGGTAACAAGATGGGTTGCTTGAAATTTGTTATAGAGAACTATGCGTCTAAAGGTGAAGGACGTGAGCCTTTGCAATTCTATATTAGGTATTAAAAGGTAACCCTAGCCCTCGTCCCTTCGTTAATATCAAGTATAAGCGGTTTTTGCGAACCCTTATTTCGAATACGTATTTCAAGTTTCGAAATATTTTTGTAAATGTGTCATTTAAAAACCCAATATAATAATATATTTATTAAAAAGATTTTATAATCAATGATCCTTTTTCTATTATATTTAATCTATCTGTTTCTTATACTATACCTACTTGTGGTGTAGGTCTATATTGTGATTGGTGATGGACACGGGGGAGTCCATCACCGGCGACTGAGGGTTGCCTCCCCCCCGAGAGGGAGCTGCCTCGGCAGCTGGCGCAGACGGGGCCGCGGACGAGAGCGAAAGCGTGCCCGTGGTCCCGTC